TCACAACAGCAAGAAAAGCGCCAGATCACAGTGGGCCCCTTCAGACCTCAACAGCAAGCTAGATTGCAGTGGGCGCTCTCGGACCTCAACAGCAAGCGCCAGATTGCAATGGGCACTCGGACCTCAACAGTAAGCGCCAAATCGGAGACCAGACAGCAACGCCATCAAAATTCCAAAACTCCTTTCCGGATCGGAGACAGGACGCAAGACCATCAGAAAGACTGGATTGGGACCAGGAACGCGGAATCGGAGAACATCAAAATTCCAAATTTCAATTTCAGATCAAAGTCCGACCGGATTGGAGATCATCGGCGCGACCAAACTCCATTCCGGATCGGAGACCAGAAACGGCAAGGCTATCAATAATTCCAAATTTCGATCCCAGATCGGAGACCAGACTATCCACGCCACCAAAAAATTCCAATCAGACCGGAGACCGCGCAGAAACCGAGCAGAAAATTCCAAGCCGCGCGTCGCCGGACCACAAGCCGGAGACCAAGTGGATCGGAGACTGTCGGCGCGAGCAAAAAAGATTCAAACCCTGCCTGAAACATTGCGGCGCCTCCCCGTTTTTTCCGCTTAGATGATCAGCCACTCTCGCGTCAAACCTCTGACTCACTTCTTTTTCCTTGGTAACTGCAGTCTGCAGAGGCTATCAAGCAAGCCCAAACAAACCCTAAAAGAAATCAAGCCTTGAAGCAAGCGCAAACAACCCTAAAGAAGTCAAGCCCAAAACAAGCCCGAGCAAACCCTAAAGAAGTCAAGCCCTAAACCAAGCCCAAAATACCGTGAACAAGAACAATCCCTATAAGCCAAGCCCAAACAAACCCTTATGAAGAAGCGAAAACCAAAACCAATCGCAAACAAACCTTGAAGGAAAATAAAAGGACCGGATAACCCCACATGTTAAGCTTGTCAGAACTAGCAACGAGAAGTAGAGACTGAGAAGAAAAGAAGACGGAAAGATCTTGGACGATAAAAGTGAGTGAGATGAGTGATGTGTGATGAGTGGTGTGTGATGAGTGGTGTGTGATGAGTAGTGTAAGATGAGTAGTGTGTGATGATGGTGTGTGATGAGTGGTGTAAGATGAGTGGTGTGTGATGAGTGGTATGTGAGAAGTGGTAGTAATGAGAAGTAGAGACTGATCAGAACGGAGGACGGAAAGATACGAGACGAAAAAAGTGAATGAAAGAGACAGTGAGGTGAAAGAAGCAGCAGTGCGTGATTGAGGGAATGAGTGAGGGAATGAGAGAACAGAGTGCGCGGGTGTAGCTTCCATTGTACGTCCGTTTAACCAACTGCACTCCATGTAGTTCAGAGTACCTGGCACAGGCGATGGAAGATTGAAAGAGAAATATGACCAAAGGATCACTCCGTGCGACTGCAAGTAGCACAGTGACAGATTGTAATCTGGATCCGAGCCGTCCTGCGTGGCTGCCATCGCACGCATCGTAGCGAGCAGGAGCAGCCCTAGCCTCCTGACAACGTGCCAAAATGGAGCGCACTTGGTCAGGAAACCTGGCTTCCGTTCGATGAGGCGCCAACAACACCGCGCACGCCCGTTGTCACACCGACTTGAGACGCATTCGCGGATCGTCCGCCTGGTCGGAGATGAAAAACGAAAGCTATCAGTGGCCTTTTTCAGACATGTCACCCCCAGACTGCCGTGCAATCATCGAAGCGGTTAGTGAAAATGTCGCGCTTGTGACCAGAAGAAGCCTGACAGTTCAACGTTGCACCGCAGATATCTCGCTATCGTTGCACTGACAAGCAAGATGTAAAAAAGGAAAAATCCGTGGTGCCTCGTCACCACAACAGCGTTCTGAGTATGGAAGCCTGTCGTGGCCAAAATGGACAATAGTATGTTATACATACAGAATCCTGCGTCAGTACTGCAACGTGACTGCGCAAGGCTTTGGAGTACCTGAACTGGACCTGAAAACACACCAACACCATAGCAGGTGTTGTGTTAGATGAGTGGGGGGTGAGAGGAAGAGAAGGAGAGGAGAGGAGAGGAGAGG